GAAACTTGTATGTTCTCTTCCCAATTATATCACTGCCTACATCTTGTCCGACTACCTTCAGCTTTTCCTGTAAGTGTTGTTTTTAATGAGGCTAACATATTTCCTTTGTTTATTTCTGACAGCAATACTACCTCCCCAATTCCCAGTCTCTCCGGGACCCCTGTATTAGTTTCCACAAATTATGCGTCTTTCTGTGTATATGAATGATTGCCCTTCCCTCCCCCTTTTGTTCTTTACCTAAATGTTTGGCATACAGGTGACCTTATGAGCTGCATCCTGGATGTCAAAACAGGATAAATCCTGTATACCCAGTTTAATCCCTTTAGAAGTTATTAGTAGAGTACTTGTAACAGCTCAGTCAATTACTACTCTGCTGTCCTAGTCTGGACATTATTTTATTTCTACATTCCCAGAACTACGATTTGACTTCCTAATTACTTGTTCATTGTAAAGGCCAGGGCTATTCAACTAGCAGCCCACGGATCCAATGTGGCCAGCGGATCACTGCAAGTTTAGTTTTTTTTCACATGCTCTTTCTACAGTGGGACACGGATCTCTGGCCTGTGAGAATCCTCGTTTTTAACCATTTGGCCAATGAGTAAACTAAGTTGAACAGCTCTGGATTAGGCGATTGGACCTTTTGAGATTGCAGTCTTTGTGTCTTTGTCAAGTTTCCCCACAAGGGACAATGATGGAGATTATTTGTGCTTTTTTTTTGGGGGGGGAAAGGGGGGGGGGAGGAGGAGGGGGAACAGATGAATGGAGCAAGTGTGGAGTAAACTGTGATTTCTTGATTACCTGTTTAGCTTTCTGCATCATAAATACAAACAAAAAATACAAACGCAAGAACTAGATAGATTATCTTCTTTTAATTTTAAAGTATATAAATTATATGATTAAATATGAACAATAAAATTGTTATTTTGTCAACAAGTATTCATAGATAATAAAACAACCCCAGCACCATAATGATAACATGCTTTGTAATGAGATTTTACACACAAAAAAGGAAGAAAGATACAAGTGTTATTAACAATTCATTCAACATTACACAGATTACACATAGTACTTTATTTATATGTTTTTGGAAAATTATGGCACGAAAAAAAAGCATGGGATTTCAGGACCATTGTTGTCACTGCATATGTACTTAACTTGCTTTTTCTCAGATGCTCAACTCCTAATCTAATGCATTCACCCTCTCCCTGTTCCTGACTCATGAAACATGCCTTATGGCATCCTGTTTCCACCTCAATACCTTTATCATTCATGTTCCACTTGTAGTCATCATCTTTACATTGAAGTAGAAGCTGACCCCAACATTAACCTATTGGTAATTCACCACAGAGGGTGTCCTTAAGGACTCCACCATCCTCTGTCCACCAAGTGTGTGTCACCCATCTAAGCCTAAGACTGAAAATCAAGAGAACAAATTTACATAGCAATAAAAAGTATCTTCCTTTAGGCATATAGGGCTAGACCAAAATTTTGTGATTTGGTCAGCATTCCGCCAGCTGCCTTTACTTCTCCGGATTGCACCTGGTACCCACTCAAGGCTGGGTCGACCTCAGAGCCAAAGTCTTTTATGAAAAAAGTTCCGTCCCATCAGGAGCAGAACCCACGACTTGCATAGCAATAACATAACAAACAATAATTACAGCATAAAGTGGAAAACTGATTGCATCAAATATAGAAACATTTACATTTCTCTAGTGATACCTCATCACGAAACACTGTAATTATTTTAAAATGCTTCAATAGATGGTAATGAAACATGGCAAGTACAGTAATAATTAGTTAATTTAAAAACAAAAAACCCATATTTGAAAAATAAAATATGTGACTAAATCTTAATGCATATACCGCAATCAGAACAGCAGTTTCTAAGCAATGACAAAATTTTTGAGATAGCATTCTTGTCCCCTAAAATTAAAACAATTCAACTGATTTACATGTCACAACAAATATTGGAAATATAGGCTCTTGCTTTTGTTCACATTCAAAATGTTACTGTTTGTGCATAAATGTCGCATATTTCTCAAGAAGACAGACAGCATATGCGGATAACATATTAATTTTCATCTCCAAATAGAGCAGTGACCCTCAACCAAACCCCACCATTTATTTACCACATTTGTTCATAACTGATTCTTCTTTTTCGTCTTCTTTTTTAACATTGAGAGGGAAACATAAGTGAACTTTTAATCAGGTTGCAACTGGTACTATTAGCATGGCTACTCTTTTGTTGGCTACTGAAAAAAGGGACGGAGCACCTGTGGGAATGTCCTGAGTGGAGTGATGTCAATCCTTGATTCCCACACTCTTCTTCTTCTGTGCGACCAGTTTCATATGCTCAAACGATGCCAGCAATGAGAGCATACAACATGAAAGTAAGATCACCAAGAAGTCAGGGAAATCTAAGAAGAAGATGGACTCAAGGAGTCACTGATATCTTGAGACTCCACAACATCACAGCATACCAGGCAACACAGCGTGTCTTAACACAGATACTGATCACCTGTTAACCTGCAATGCATAGCAGCACAAAACAGAAAATGAACAAAAGAAACAATAAGCTACTGATGCTTATTAATGCAGAAAATTATTATATTTCAAACAAAAATATATCAGTAAATATAAGAAATTTGTAAGACAAATTTGGAATATTTGGATCAAATCAGGAATAAGAACTGGTTAACAAAAACAAAAAACGAGTAGTACGACAGGAAAACATCCTGATAATGTATGGTAAATTTAAAAACAAAACACAGTACAGACTGGCTTATTAAGTAAGTGTAAATGTATGCACATATGTATGCACAGTTGAAGGTAAACCTAAGTGAGATACTGGGCATTTGATGGGAAGAAATAGACAGAGAATCACCAACCAGGAACTAAAATGGGAAACAATTACATTGAGAAAATGAGAACATCGAAAAAAAACTCTAAAACGAATGTTGCCAGAGTGGCCAATGGTGCTGGACTTAATTCCATCCATGATACTGAAATGATATTACAAGATTTTTTTTTTTTAAATATCCAGAATCCATGAGTTGTAAACCCTCTGGCTCGGCACCATAGATATCGCAATCCTTCAGCCTTAATTCCATGATAGGTACAGTAAATTTGGGAAATATAGGGCTTTTCTGCCTACAGAGTTCGTCACCAGGTCGCTGTACAATCAGGTTTAACCAACTGAGCTAGCGTGCTGGGCATAGTACATAATAGTAAATAGGATAAAATGGAATGGAAGACGAACGGACTTTGCTTCTAAATAGTCATAAATTGAGCACACATTTTACATTTGGTCGTTTCAAACACTCCTCCTTCACACCCAGTGCATGTTTTTAATCACCGAAGCATTTTATGTTCATATAACAACAAATATAAGGTAAAAACACAAAGAATGGCAAGTGTTAGGCCTTAACATATTATTAATGCAGAAAGATATTATCTTATGCCCAAAATTTTATCAGTAAATATAAGAAATCTGTAAGATAGTGACTGAATATCTGGATGACATCAGGAATTGGAATTGTTTAAAAAAAAAAGGAAAAAAAAAAAGATTAAAAAAAAAAAACAAACCACAATCAGTAGTGCATGCAAGAAAACAATGGCCAAAGGAACGAGGCATCCAGGACAAACTCTGGGGAACCTTAGAGACCAGAGGCTCACAATTAACCAAGACCTGCAGATTCCTCTAATTTTTTTTCCAGGTCTGCCATCAACTTATAATTTACTCTATAAATATTAGAATCACAACAACAATAGCACAGATTGCATTGTAAATTTGAAATAACCTGTTGACCACCAAATGGAAAAGACTGTTCTAGACTATGGTATAGTGAGGTGGAAAAGGGAGGGGGGGGGGGGGCAGTTGTTTCCTTTTCAGCAAAGCCTGTGTGGATTCTGAACCCAGTATCAATTTCATGTCGTGGCTGATCTCAAAGGTCAGAAGAGAAAGCCCTGCCACAGCTCATTATATAAACAGGACCACAACCTTAGTAAGCAACAGACACGTGAGTGTTTGAGAGTGTATGTGTGTGAATGTTAACGTGCATGTGTGTTTCAACTGATGAATATCCCTCCCCTCTTTTTCTCTCTCATATGCAAACATGCACGCACACACACGCACGGACGCACACACACATATATACATACATACAGGCATACATAAAGGGGGAGAGAGAGAGAGAAGCTGTACTTTCAAATGTGTCAAAGACTTTATTGCCAAGCCACAAGGCATACTGCAGATAAGGTACTAACACCATTTACTAACCCATTCAGTGGATAATTCCGTAAACCATGATGGCCATCTTTACATTTCTTAGTACCAATTTCACGCTGGGTTAACCTGGAAATCTTAGGCGGAAAAGTATTGCTAACTAAAATATAGTCTTAAAAATAACGGAACTATGTTTTGTAAAAACACCTAATATCATATAGTGGGAATGCCATTAGGAAATTTAAGATAGAATGTGAAAACATTCTTTGAATGGAACCAACAGTAAAGTAAAACAAAACAAAAGTAAAAGCCATATAGGGCTAGACCTATATTTTATAGACCAACAGCACAAGATGGGTGATGTGGTCAGCATCATGCCGGCCACCTTTACTTCCCAGGACTGCACCTGGTACCCACTCAAGGCTGGGTCGACCTGGGAGAGAAGGTCAGTTTTGAAAAAAGTCAGGCTCCGCTAGGGAGTGAACCCACGACCTTCCGATCTACGACGAGCGCCTAGCTGCTCTGCCATGGTGACTCGGAATATTGGCAAAAAAGATAATCAATTCAGCCATCTTTCAGAATGAAAAATAAAAAACTTACATATCATGAGAAGTGTTATATTCTTACCCTCCTGTGGGTTCCATGGCAAATGTATGGGGGAAAAAAAAGAACAGACCCACTGCCCCTTGACAAGCATTTCATAAATGTTGACTTATTACGACTGGCTGAAATCGGAGAAGAAGAAGAAGAAGAAGTGCAAGAAGATATTATGCTTTCAGAACTGCATCAAGTTAACTTCGCTGTCCCCTGGTGGTAAACAAATTGATGACTGAGGATCCGATGATGGGATCAAAAACTCATCAATGTTAGCTATTTCGCCACTGTTCATATCACGCAAACACAGTTTTTCATTCCTGAAGTCGTGATTATACTTTGACCAATCAAAAGAAAGTGGTTCAAGATCAAGGTTGTCAAAAATTGCACGAGTGTGTAACTGCATTTCCAGGGATGGATGAAGTCGAAATGGAACACCACTGACAGCAGACTTGAGACTTCGTGTTGGAAACATGTCATCTGAGTTCAGAGGTGAAAGTTTATATTTAGAAAACATAGCAGGCCCTGAGATAATGGTGCATGATCCATTGAGGACACTCAGGTATGATGGTGGTTCCTCCGTCTGTGAGACCTAAATAAAATAAAACAAATCATTTCAATAATGTGTATCAAGTGCAATATTTTAACTCAAAACATTTTTTAGAAACAACCGAAGGGAAACTGAATAATATTTATAGAGAAACCTACAACCATCATGGGAGAAATGAATGCAAAGGCTGATAGATTGGTGAAGCCCCTGGAAGACTCAGTTTAACTTCTTTAACTCAATTCGGTATGCATCAACTTATCATGTGCGAGTTGGCTTAAACGGACACAAAATCAATGTCTTATCCAATTGTTTCACTAACCCACACTGCTCAAATACTTATTACCCATTGAAGTTGTGGGTGTTTATGGTTCAGGTTGGAAGGAGAGTGGTGAAGCAAGATTCTGGTGCTTTTGCCCTGACAACATACAGCCTTATAGAGGTTGTGGCAGTGACCAGAACAATACAATTTAAACTAGGCATGCTTTTTCAGTGACTTAATGAGTATGATCAGAGCTGGTCAGGGCTGATGCATATCAGTTTCATTTTCTTGCCAGGGCAGGCAGATGTGCAAGGAAATGAGCAAGCTGACAGACTGCAGGTAAGGCTACAGTCAAATACGGATATGCCATGGACCATGCTGATATACTGAATGCAAAAAGAGAAGTAGGACGTTTGCAAGAACCAAGTGACTGTGAATCTGCAGCCATGACCAGATGCAAGAAAAACAAGTTTAAAGGGGTGTGGCATGACAAGAGCGCTATGCAGGCAACCAAAGAAGAATAAGAAATCAACACAGAACTAGAGTTGTCCGCCGCTACATTTTGTGGGATTTACTGAGGAGGGGATCCAAGCAATTATGCACTGAATGGCTAGATGTTTAATGAAGATAATTTGTCGACTAGCAAACTAATTACTTACAGTGTTATTACTTCGAAGCGTTAGACCCAAAGTTATTATTTCTTAAAATAACAACTTCTTAGAACAGAACTAGCTGAAGCAATATTTACCAGGGCCCAAAAGAGTTAAATCCAATGCACTGGTGTTAAATCTACAGAGCCCTGAACAGAGCCTGCATTTATCAGAGCAAGGTTGATGATATCATCCTCATCATCATCCTGTTTTGTTCCATTAAATGCCACAGGTACTCAGTCTTGTCTGTGTGTGGTGGTATGATAAGTATGCACATGTGATATGTATGTGTGGTGTGAATGAGTGGGTCATGCATGGATTAGTGTGTGTATCTATGCATGAGTATTTGTTTCTTTGTTTGTGTGTGTTGTATGTGTATGCAGTATGTGTGTACATATGTGTGTGTGTGTATGCAAGAGCATATGTAAGTAAATCTGAGTGTCTGTGTTGTATGAATGTATGTGTGGTTATGAGTGAGGGTGCATGTAGAGATATTAGTATTTATGCGTGCATGTATGATGTAAATATGCATATGTACATGTTTATGTACAAGTGTGTATGTACGAGTCTTTTTGTATGTGTGTATGCATGCATGTGTGTGTGTATGTATGTGTGTATCTCTCTCTCTCTCTCTGTAGGTGTGTGTGTGTATGTATGTGTGTATCTCTCTCTCTCTGTAGGTGTGTGTGTGCATGTATGTGTGTATCTCTCTCTCTGTAGGTGTGTGTGTGTGTGTATGTATGTGTGTATCTCTCTCTCTCTCTGTAGGTGTGTGTGTGTATGTATGTGTGTATCTCTCTCTCTCTCTCTCTCTCTCTGTAGGTGTGTGTGCGTATGTGTGTATGTCATGCAAGTGCACTATTAAGTTCATAAATGAACTGATATGGTCGTCACTGGGGCTACAAAGTCTGCACATTGTGCAATGCCCTCAGCATACGGTTAGCCATTATGCAGAAAGAGATCGAACCATATAGGATTAAACCTGGTGCTATGAAGCTGATCCTCTCTACTTAAATTCTAACTTGATAACAATTATGAACTGACAAGAAAAGAAAAAGAAAACACATACACACAAATTTCATACACATATAATACTAAGAAATTAACAATATAAAACTTATACATAAAACCGATATAATGGTAGATGAATATCTGCTGCGTAAAATATGGTTTATCAATAAAGACAATTTTAGACACATTGATGCTGAACTAGCAAAACTGACTGCCTAGAAAAAAAAAGAAAGGGAAGTTTTACAAGGATTTAAGAAAATAATTAGTTCTTCCTACATTTCAATGCTGTAATAACATAATACTTCATTAACTTCTATATCAATATGATAAATGGTTATAAATTTGTGCCAAATTTGTGCAAGCCTGTCCTACACGACTTTCAGGTGGAGTTGCTTCTGCTCAATGGTAAAAAAATTTGGAATGAGTTTTGTTAACACTGCATGACAAAACTGTCATAAATATGAAGTGCACAGAACCAATGTTTATCCTAAAACTGTTTATTAATTCTTGGATACAGACAGAAGTTTTACATGACCAAAGTCTCCATTAGGTCAATGATCTTGTCATTTTGAATGCTGAATCCCTACTTGAACATTGTCCACTTTCTGATGTGTGGATGAAAGCAGCATAGACCAACATGTTGTAACTGTAATACTCACAGAGTATGCTTTGGACAATCTCTTTGGGCACATGGATTTCAGGAATAGTATAAGATGTCTCTTGAAATAAATAAATACATGGTAAGTTTTTTGGAACTGAATGAGTTGAGGTTAACTTAACCATATCTGAACTACAGTGATACCTCAACTTATGAATTTAATTCGTTCATGACTGTGGTTCGTATTTCAAAACGTTTATATCTCAAAATCTTATTTCCTAGAGATTGCCAGACTTCCCTGTCTGCAGTTTTCTTTTTGGCTTTGTTCAATTGCAGTCCTCTGTTAGTCAGGGACTGTTAGACTGCCCTCCTAGTGAAAGAGTTCTCACATTCTAGTGGTCTGATTCCCTGGTTCTTGGCTTCCCATGCCTGCTATGGTGGCCAATTGTTTCCCATTCTGCATACATGTCCAAACCATCCCAGGATAGATAATCCTTTGGCCATAAGTAATTTAAATAATACGGACTTGTGTCCGCATTATTTAAATTCATTACCGGAAAACATTGTTTTGCATAAGTAATTCCTTAAAAAAATCTGCTTTCTCGAGATTTGTAGCTATGGTGAGCTTGGACAATTTATACTGCTTGCATAAATCAGTTTGTCTGATCCCCTTCTCACATTTTCCAATGATCTCTTTCTTAATTTCTGCTGAGATTTTCTTCTCTTTTTTCTTAGTTTTCTTTGGCCCCCATGTTGGAAATACCATGATATCTAAATAATGACTAACTGTATTGTTTGATAGCAAAAAAACTGAAAAAGATGCACTAAAAAGTAAATATGTATGTGCAGTATACATCGCACTCATCACTTGATGCGTCGTATTCAAGATATATGTGATATGGTAGCAACAAACAAGCGGATATGTGTTGCAGATCGCAGTTTGTGTCTCGAATATAGGCTTGTATGTCAAGGTCAAAATGGGATAAAAAAAAGAAGTTTGCTTCTTGCAAAGTTCACATGTAGAGCGGTTGATATGTCAAGGTATCACCATTAAAAGTTAGTGTTTTAAATGAACAAACCTGTCTATATGTGGGTGGTGAGTCTGGGTATCTTCCTGCTGAGACTGATCTTCTGAAAGGTATGATCTGGCTATCTTCTGGATCAATTACTATGTAATCGTCATCAGCAACAGGCTGGCGAAAAGTATCAGCATTTGTAGCCAAAACTACACCTGGTGTCACATCACTGCTGTAGCAACATTCTTCTTCTGAATCTGAATCAGTGTGGTGAAAACTCACCTGCTTAGTTAGATTTGTAAAGAAACTGTTCATGGAAACGGTTGGTGGGCTGCCAGTTAGGTCTAATTTTTAACAACTATAATTTACAAATTTTAAATTAGTTATCAACAAACTTACTGACTGAACACTACGAGTCTCTCACCCTCAAACTACACAGGAGAACTGATCTCTGCACTCACATTTACATTAGTTTCGAAAAGAGAAGGTCCAATTAAATTACTTATTACCTCATATCAACCAGTCAGGTAATAATACTAAATCAATTTTTAACTTTAGAGTGTCTATTTAACTTTGTCTTCATTAACTCTGAGACCACAGACCGATCTCAGTGTGAGTGACGAAAGTCCAAAGACTTCAGAAATAACAGCCTGTAGTAGTACAGTAGTAGTAACAGAAACAATAAAATTTACACAACAAAATGAGTTACTACATTACAAATTTCGCGTACTATGAATTATATTATCCGTTCCATTAATTTACTCCATTTCGTTTATACGTAACATGCAAACACAAACGTCAAATGGGCATGTTAATAGGCTCTATTTATTAGTAAGTTTTGTACTTCGCGTCAGTTCATTCCTTAAGTTAAGGACCTTACCGCTTTGAGAAGTCGTTTACGAAGGAGGTAATTTTAGTAATAATAGTTAGCGTAGTCACTTCCCTTGATTTAGTCCCATCCTTCACTAACTGACAGTCAACCCCACCAGGACTGCAAGAGCAATAAATACCCGGTGACACAAAGTACCACTATTCGGATGAGAATCACCAAGGGAAAGTCCCAGAAATATTGTTCAACCCGTAGGTTATATAGGGCCCCCGTCGACAGCCTTGAGGTAGACTAAGTTTTTGGGGGTTCATAGCAGAAGTGAAAAACGTCGCTTAGTGCAACAAAGCCTAGCATATGATATCATTAACATCTTGTTTGAGAATGGAAATGGAGACAGTCACTACTGTCTTCCGCTGGATTGAGAATCAGCTGTACTGCTTTGCCATGGAGACCCAAATATCTTCAGATTTCAGATGTATAACATACATGACTTTCATTCTCTCACTCACTCACTCACTCACTCACTCACTCACCCACTCACTCACTCACTCACTCACTCACTCACTCACTCACTCACTCACTCACTCACTCACTCACTCACTCACTCACTCACTCACTCACTCACTCACTCACTCACTCACTCTCTCTCTCTCTCTCTCTCCCCACCCCTCCCTCCCTC